ATGGTAATTTAAATATCGCGGTCATTTGATTTATGCGCATTTCGTAAATATAGAAAATCAATCGTTTCATGTGTGATACACGTTTTGTATGGGACGTAAAGAAAGCATTACAAAAAGTAGTATTTAATAGATTTACTCACACATTTGCAATTATATGAATGTAACTGAATGATATACTCGAAGAATATATTTGAAATAGTCTGTAGGAAATTGGACAATTTGAATGTGGGTCGATTCTGGGACCGTACGTTAAATCGTGCTTTTTGGAACGTATAGAGAAGTTGCTGGAAGATTCGAAGCAAGTACGATAGTGGATAGTAGTTACTACATATTACGTGCAACGTTGATAATAGAACTTTTCAATTTCTATCGGCGTATTCAATTTTTTTTCAATATGTCAGACTGGGACACAGCTCCTATTACTTTGCGAAAACGTCCCCCAAAAGCCTCTGTACTTAAATCGGAACAGGTAATTTTTTTGAAAGGTATTTCGATTTATTTTGCCTGAGATGATTCTTGCATGTACTGTTGTGTAATTGTGTTTATTTACAGGCGGTAAATGCTGCACGTCGTCAAGGATTTGTGATTGAAACACAAGCAAAATGTACGTAAAGTTAGTTAAATTTGAATTATTTGTTTTGTTAAATCTTTTGTTTTACACGATGATTTCTGTTGCTTGAAGACATGTTTACGCGGTTAAATATTATGAACATAATATGATGTAATATATAACCTTATAAATTACTTCATTATTTACTATTTTGTTTTCTTAATGCAAGTACTATAAAATTAATAATTGAAATGATATATTATAAGAATTATGAGAATATATACAGTTCCTTACTAGGGGGTGGAGGAACAAATAAACAACATGTGGCAACTAAAAACACAGCTAAATTGGATAGAGAAACTGAAGAATTAAAACACGACAAAATCCCACTTGACCTTGGAAAATTAATACAACAAGGACGACAAAGTAAAGGATTATCTCAGAAAGACCTTGCGACAGTATGTCATTTATTTAAACAAGAAATATTTATATGCTTATGGTTTTTAATTTATTTTTCTTCATGTAGAAAGTAAATGAAAAGGCACAAGTTATCAATGACTATGAAGCAGGTCGTGGCATTCCAAATCAAATGGTAATTGGCAAAATTGAGCGAGTGTTGGGAATAAAATTACGTGGTAAAGATCGTGGTAAACCATTATCAGTTCCTGGGGCTAAAAAGTGAACCTTGGGAAAAAAAATCTCTACATCTTACCTTTATATATTGTTCCCTAAACAAAAGAAGTAAATTTTTATTTAATTTTAAAAAGTTGTGTGTTCAGTTTTAAAGTTGCAAACATAGTTATTAAATTATCTTTATGTACTGTTTTGTTACGTTTTCAAATACATCCGACCATTATTATTATAATATACATTTACGACTAATCTTTTTTTTTTTATTTGAATAATGTAGGCTAAACAAAATAGTATTAATGCAAATAGAGATAAAGGATTAATATGTGTATACATATGAATCATTGATTTGATACCATTTATACACAAACACACTCATTTTAATGTATAATATAATAATACGAATCACAGTAGTTGTATATAAGGATAAGAAATTGTTAAATAAATATCAATTATACCGTTCAGCGTTAATTTTATTCGTATAGAAGTTTGGTAATACACAATTTTTATCCCATTTCATTAATCTTTTCTCAATTCAAAGCTTGAATCTTGTACACCATCTCGTGTTATAACTTTGATACTTATAGAATCACCAGTGTAAATATCTCTTTCTGCTGCTGATGTGAAAACATCTTTTATAATAGCAACAGCTTTTTCTTGAGTTAAAGGAATAGGTTCAACACCTTCCTGATTTTTATATCCAATCTAAAAGATATATTGCTTTAATGATAAGTCATGATATAATTAGTTGGACATAATTTTATGGTAATATTTTTTTAGTACCTGATTGTCAAGAAGAGGTTGTAAAAGAGCTCCAGCTGAACCACCTGCTCTATATGTTGTCACTTCACAATGTCCAATTGGATCATAACTGTAAACACATCCTTTACCATTCTCATCTAATCCACCAAGAATATTACTAACATAATAAGGAAAAAAACGTTTATAGTATAACATTGTTGACAGCATTTGTGCAACTGCTGGTGTTGGCATTTCTTTCTGATGTTCATGCTCATAAATCTATCACAAAAAAAAAGGAAGTTAATACATTAACTATTCTAAATATTGTCTTGCTGATAAAAATAAAATTTTATCAAGTTTAATGTTAGCAATATACTTAAGACATAATTACCTGCATTCGAGCAGACAAGAGTCTAGTTAAGCTAAGTGTATCACACCAGCAGCCTGAGCAACCCAAAACAGTTTTAGTTGACAAAGGAAATAATTTCTTTTGTTCACGCGTGTAAATAGAGAAGCCTGTACTGAGACGTGTGTCCGCTGCTATTACACAGAAATCATCTCCTGCAAGCGCTATAACACTCCTGTAATAATAATACAGAAAACAAATTTATAACAATCTGAATACTAAAATTACTTTTAATGATTAAAAGTGGAACAGTATATTTGTAATAAAATATGTATATATATTTATATTTATTTGTCAACATACTAATTTAAAAAGATTTAGGTTATATGTAAAACCTACCCTCCATTATCGGCATATGGACTGAAACTTCTCATTTTTGCTACTTGTGTCGTATAATCAGGTAATGATCTCCCTGGATTTTCACTTAAAAGAGTCATTTTCTTCAGTGTTATTCTAATAAAGGTATCTTAAACAATTTTTACCCTGGATGACAATACACTTTGCGGTGAAAGTGGCAAGCAAAACAGCACTTTTCACACATAACATGCTTAGTACTTGCACACATGATTGGCCAGTTTGTGTTTGTCTCCACAGGAATAGGCCGACAGTAATAGGTTCGCTTTTAAGTTTTGCAAATATATAACAAATCAGAAAGATGGATTAGAATATATTGTAAATTCAATGCAAAAATATAATTTCTAGATGCAATTTAAATTATATTAAATATGAAGTAAATAATTATTAAGTACAAATAATAAAGTTGTTAATTTAAGATTGATCGATTTAAATGAAGAATTAAATAATATACTTATCTTTTCTTTACTATACAAATTATAATTTACAAAATAAAATCTCGAGTTTCTGTTGGTTATTCTGTTCAGCCTAATTCGTGCATATGAGGTTTCAAGGTAGGAACAGTATCTACTACAAATGAATGTATATAATTTATCTTATCAATATTGATAACATTCGAACAAGTTGGCACAATTTCACGACATACGAAAAAAAGAAGAGAATTCTTTAACAGTATACCGAAATGGCAACTGGTGATGAGAGACGCGTTGCATTAATTACGGGTATTACCGGTCAAGTAAGATTGACATTTCATACTTTGTTGACTTATTTACTTTATTACTTAAAATGTTAAATTTTTCATTATCTTTGATTTTTATTATCATGTATTGAAATTTCATTTTTTTAATGTGAATTGAATTATTAATATAACATTATTTTTCTTAGGATGGTTCCTATTTAGCTGAATTTTTATTAGAAAAAGGATATGATGTGCATGGCATAATTAGAAGAGCTAGTTCTTTTAATACAGCTCGAATTCAGCACCTTTATGCAGATCCAAAATGTCATCGTCAGGGCAAAATGAAATTACATTATGGTGATATGACAGATTCCAGTAGTCTAGTTAAAGTAATTAGTTCTGTGCAACCGACTGAAATTTATAATCTTGCTGCTCAAAGTCATGTTATGGTATGTATCAGGTTTTACATGTTTATTGTTAAACATTTCTTTATGCTAATGTATTAATTATTCTTTATAGGTAAGTTTTGAAGTAAGTGAGTATACTGCTGAAGTAGATGCAGTAGGAACAGTTAGATTATTAGATGCAATACGTACATGTGGCCTTGAGAAATCTGTAAAATTTTATCATGCATCAACATCTGAACTTTATGGCAGGGTAACACAAGTGCCTCAAAATGAAAAGACTCCATTTTATCCTCGTTCTCCATATGGTGATTACATGAATATTGTGTAAATTTTAATTTTAAACTGACATTTATTTGAATTAATTTTTAAAATTTCAGCTTGTGCAAAATTATATAGTTTTTGGATAGTGGTAAACTATAGGGAAGCATATAATATGTTTGCATGTAATGGTATATTGTTCAATCATGAAAGTCCTCGTAGAGGAGAAAATTTTGTTACCAGAAAGGTAACAAGATCTATAGCAAAGATACAATTAGGTTTACAAGATGTTCTTGAATTAGGAAATTTAGATGCTAAACGTGATTGGGGACATGCAAGAGATTATGTTGAGGTAGAAACTCATTGCTTATAGTACTAATAACTTTAATAAATAAATTTTAAAAATTTGTAAACTGTATAGGCAATGTGGTTGATGCTACAACAACCAATCCCAGATGATTATGTTATAGCAACAGGAGAAACACACAGTGTTAGGGAATTTGTAGAAGCAGCATTTCAATATGTAGGTCGCACAATTAAATGGGAAGGTGAAGGTGTAAATGAAATAGGACAGGATGCACAAACAGGACAGTTATTAGTTAAAGTAAATCCTAAGTATTTCCGCCCAACAGAAGTAGTAAGTATTTATTCCACATTATAGTAATTGTATTATTATAATATTGAATATGAAAAATATAAATATTGACATTCTCTATATAGGATTTACTTTTGGGTGATGCTACTAAAGCAAGGGAAAAAATAGGGTGGACACCTATAGTTACGTTCGAGGTACTTGTTAACGATAACTGTTCTGTACATTGATTTTTACTCATAATCAGTTCTGTAATAAGTAGCATTGTTTCAGGCCCTTGTAAAAGATATGATGGATTTCGATTTGGAACTAATGAGAAAAAATCCAAATGCTTAGAATTATTTGTTATTTATGATGAAATTTAATGCATTTGCAAAACACATTCTATATCTCTATGAGATAATGATATTTAAACGATACATTTATTATACCGTGAGAAAATTTAAATGTCACTTTTGTAATACATATTCTTGGATCAAACATAGCCGAGCTTTTTGTCACTGACTTCATACTACATAGGGTGCATAGAAAATAGCTTTGTTTAGATCTGATTTTGAATATGTATAAAACACATTAATGTTAAATATTATTTTTCAATTCCATTAGGTATAATCTGCGTATGCCGTACATATAGTGAAATGACAGTTCTAGGTTTATTATACTTTATTCACTATTACTATTATGTTTAGATATATTGACATTTAAGACAATTATATTTTTTTTAACGTTTTACGTAAAGAAAATGACAGATGGCACAAGATTATTGAAATACTTTTTATATACAACATGTCTTCCGTGTATACACGTTAATCTATAATTTTGTATATAATGTATTATACTTTAGACTAATCGTTAAATAGTCTATTCTAATCTTTATACGTAATATCCAGTGTACAATTAAAAAAACTGGAAAACACTTCCTTTTAAATAATCAAACAGTATTCGTTTTATATTACAACCAATAATTACCCTCAGCGGCACAATTTCATCATTTCCTAACTTTTTAATCTATATACTAGTTGTTCCTCTCAATATCAATGTGGTACTAAAATACATACACTCCAAATATTTAAATGGAAGACTCATTCGTCGATTTTCGCAGAATATTCTCGATCGTGAACATCATGGATTTCACACAACGACCCTGAGCTGTGTATTTCATTTTCCCGTTCCGTGCATTTTCCTCAGAATCTCTTGTTTCGGCTACTTCGTTTCTGTGTTCATCTTTCTCCTTATGTTTCAAATTGTTCAGCAATTCTGAAGAAACCTAAAACACCATCGCTTCGTTAACAAAAGGAACATTATCGTAACCCTTGGACTGTACAGTACAATTAATTTTTTATCCCAAAAATTCGATTTTATTTCACATACCGAGACCACCGTATGATCCTGTTCATCTTTGTCCTGTTTGTCCAGACCGCGTTGCCTTCTCATTCTTCTTCTTCGGTAATTACCATGCTCAAACATCTCACTGGCAGAGGGATCCAGAGTCCAATAGCTACCTTTTCCAGCTTGATCCTCGTCATTATCATTAACGATTACCTTATCTCTCGGTATCTTCACAAAGCAATCATTGAGACTCAAATTATGTCTAATACTGTTCTGCCACCCTTGACGGTTTTCCCTATAGTAGGGAAACCTGTTCATGATAAATCGGTAGATACCCGAAAGAGTGAGCCTCTGTTTAGGCGAAGAATTAATAGCCATTGCTATCAGGGCGATGTAAGAGTACGGTGGTTTTTCGTAACGAGGTTGCGGCTTATATCTTATCAGAGGGAGATCCCAGGAGAGCGGCACGCTCCGCGAGTTCAGCATGTTTGGGACCAGGCTGTAATAACTCGGAAGAGGGCACATGGTTGGAAACGTCTTTTCCGCGTTCCATAGTTCGTAACTTCTGCGTAGATCATATGCATACGCCTTCGATACATTGCAAGTATGACTTTGGTAGTTGTTTGGTTCCATTTGAAGCAGATACGAAACATCCGATGCTTTCGATATCGAGACGAAATTTACTAATTAGAATTTCTTTCTTTTTTTTCTTTTGGAATCTCACTTTTCTTCACTCCAAGACATCCTCATTGATCTTTATCGTCATTTGTTACGTCATTTCATCACCCTGTATTAAAACTTGACTTTCCACTAGTATACACTTTTGTTCAATAAAGTAGTCGAAATCACAAGTATAATTCGCTTCTTCCATCCGCTTTCTTCAATATCGAGGATTAACAAAATTTCTCTCGCAGAACTTGAAGCTTCGTTTGTAATCGAATCATTTTGAAATTTTCTTCGATTATGATATCAACATGTGCGATCGAATACACTTCACATCGATCGTTAATATGATGTTCAATGAATCGATGAAGAGATTCAAACTGGAGCTACCTTCAGGACACTCTCGAACCGCCTCGAACTGGACTGGGTTCCGGTGCGTCGGAAGACTGACTGCGATTTGCGGCTGGTTAGACCAATTCTCTAACGAAGGGTGTTTAATTTGACACGGAGATCCAGAGGATGGTCCAGCTCCGCCCATCGTGACTTCCCAGAGTGCGAGGGAGGCGTGGGTTACCTATCCCGTGGACCCGTGGTACATGTTTTATTGCTGTTTACACATATGCTGTCCCAACACCCAC